AACGTGCTCGGAGCTTATAGATTCTTGCGCCGTTACGACGTTCAACTGTCGCATTCATCAGCTCGCATGGAATTGCAGTAAATTCATAAAATGTGCATACGTTGCACATTTTTCAAAGAATCCTCTCAAACTTCATGCTGACCATTGAATTTATGAAAACTCATTCTCAAGTATTCAGCTTTTGTTTCCCACTTATAAATATTTTTTTGATAACACAGTTGAAACAACATTAAAAATTCACGTGTGTTACAATTGGTCCTTGTAATGAAAAATGACGTATTGAATTGCAAATCACGAAGGTACATTGCATTGTTATTACCTTTCAATACATTATTCAAACGGGTACGAGTTACGCGGATTTGACTCTAGACACCGCTGCTGCTGCAACGACACAAGCACTATAATTCTCAGCTCTCGTGAACGCTCTTTTCTCTTCAAACTTCTATAATAAGTTTATTTCCCTTCATTCGTTTAATTGAGCTTAACTGTAAAGACAAGTCGTTGACCCAAAATGCATACAAATCTTATCATTTATGGCAATAGTAGTGGCAATGCTACATACGCACATACGCTCATTTCAATGTTGCAATAGCCATAATAATGCTCGTTATAAAAGTCAATTGAATGAATTCTGTCAATTCACCATGGGTCATTTAAGGTAGCCGGTAATCAATGGGCTGCACCGTAGCCATATACATTGAATATAATTTATTTTACCGTTTGTTAGATTCATACAGAAATAACGTAAAATTTCTTTGCGATTCTCATCAAAGGAGGTGCTACTAGTATAATAAGCCGTGTGTAGTTAAAGCAATTAATTAGCATTTTAAAAGAGCGGTTAGCCTTGATCGAGAACCGACTATTTTTCTATGGAATCGATGTTATCGGCGTACAATCGTACGACATATCATCGATACGAATGAAATACTAGTGAACTATTTCCTGCGCTGGCTACGTTAGTTATGGTTTGCATTTATTAATATTTTAAAAGCGGTATTTACAGAAACGAACTCAAGTACACATTTATTCACATACAGATCGGTGACACATCGTTTTTTTATATCGCAAAAAAAAAATGCTTATTCATCGATCATTCGCATGTGAAATTCGACATCGAGCCTGCTTGTAACTGGCATTTACCCGGTAAGTGTATTAATGAAACCGAGAAATTTTCGATGTCCGATGCAATGCGCGTGCACCGAGCAGAAAAACATGGCAATTAATCGCAAACGTACTTATATATCGATATATACATGCGAATGTAATGTCGAATACACGTACTTTCTTTCGCTTGCTTCGTAAAGAATATGACCATCTAACGAAAGCTGCGAATGCGAATCGCGAATACAGCTGGGATAACAAATCATTTTTGAAGCCCACCTTACAAATGATTTTCGAAATCAGCCCTGAATATTACATCCGAGTTTTTTTAGCAACATTCGTTCATCTTACTGTGGTTGCAAGGCAAAAAAGGAAAACAAAAAACTTGTCAAGGCTTGCGCAATAAAAACGCAGTCTATAAATAATACGAGTTATTACTAAGTATGAATGCAGCATTAATGAAGAGACACGGTCGAGACTGCAGGCACGGATAAATAATATTAAAAAGCGCGCACAACTGGTCGTTGCGTGCACGTTTCTCTTTTGCGATCATCGATTTATCAATTCTCATTTCATCTCTTACAACTTCCAAAATACACGTACGGATCGCTGCGATACACATACGTTCTTGGAAGAAGCGATTTTCCCGATAAACGTCCTCGCACGCACTGGATGATCCTTAAAATACGTGCGGCTCATCGCATCGCGCGGGGAAGTCTTGTTCTCCTCTCTTGTTTGTTCGGGCACTAAGTCGATTGTAGTTATGACAACGCAGACACACGTACGTATACTCGTAGGACACAATCTAGCCGTTTGGCGAGCCTCGAATCGTGCAGGCTGCGTATTATAACTTTTCTCCAACCCCCGGGCAGTAATTGGGAATTCATACGCGCAAAAGTCGAGCGAACCGTTCAATCTGTTAATAGGTTCTTTCGTTGTTCAATATTATATGCCTCGACGTCCCGACCGTCATCATGTCTAAATTGCGCCTAGACTTGCATACGTTATATATGGATAAATCTCGAGGCGCTTGAGTTAGAAGAATTATGTACAGTTGCAGGCGCGCGTGTCGAACGCGTTACGCTCTAGGTTCTCTTGCTGGCTGAGCTAACTAATACATCGGTAATTGTCTTTTATTTAACGTTATTTTCGCGTCCACCGTTCACGCTCATATTTACAAGTTTCCTTTTTTCAATCTTTCATATTATCTTTTCGCCTGTCACTTGGATGTGCGTGTTTTGAATAGTTCGAGTGGCATGTCGTGCGTGCCAAAAGGCAGTAAAACCTTAGCTTAAAACCGATAATTTGATACATCCACAATGTACCAATCGATATTGACTATAGTTCGTCCTCGAATTTGTATTTGATACCTTTTTCTTTACTGAGCAATTATCAATACCGACCTATGACTTGATTTGACAATCTTATTTCCTTTAAAAATTTGTTTGTCTTAGCATAGTTGGGTGGCTTACAAACCATATACTTTTATTCTGTTGCGTATTGAACCTTTCTTCGTAAACACACGTCTTATGCAAATAATGCTATCATGAACTCATTCGTAGTGTACATCAGGTGCAGAAGGTCGGGAGGTATCGAGTGATACCGAACAGGGCATCTCTTCTTTCTGTGGTTATGATTTTCTCGCAAGTGAACACGCTCGCTGCTCTCGTTTTTCCGTTTTCCTCGCTTTCAACGGACATGGGTGTGAATTCTCGCCACAAACATACATTGACTGCACACATACGCGGTACGCACATTCGTGTGTACTTAAGCAGTCTCTCTTCCCACTTTTTGCTCCCGTAATTCTTTTCTCGAAAACGCGAAATAGTTTGCACTCTTCGTTGGCTCGTAGATTATGGATGTCATTGCAAATAATATAGCTATAAATCATTATTTTCTCGAGATGTCGCTTTCTCAAGCTGCAGCGCCGACGATTCTTTTTCCATCGACGGATCGACTCCATGTGAAATCAATTGCTGAGATCTTGTCACTTGTCATGCAACTTATCGCTGAATTCAATTGTACTCGAAGAAAAATTGGCTTTGTGATGATGTATTTCGCGACTTATGCGACTAATACTGTACTGCATAGAATTATAATTATTAAGCAACAGTAATTGATTCGATCGAAATGAGGCTCGCGTGAGTGCATACATTATATCTGCTTGCATACGTACTGTAGAAACATTACTCTCAAGATTTCTAGTAAATAATTGGTCTTATATATTTAAATGGTTTTCATTCAATGTATTTCGATGCATGTCTAGTGTACATCCGTCGTTAATTTGAATTTCACTTTGCGCACAAGCGTTCCCGCTCACACCTTCCCATTCTAAATTACATAAATATTTATTATCTGACGATTGATGTAATGAAACGTGCTTGAAAATCGCTACATGCCTCGAGTCTTCAAGTACGCTCTCCGCTTGAAATAATTATCAAGTCGCAGTAAAAATACAAAAGACCTGCTAGGAAACGCTCAAAACAAGAGTACATAACTATTACTCAACTTTCAACCTGAGACAAAAGGACGTGTCGCAGAAATTTTAGACTTTGAATTCAAGGTGCATAAGCAAGTATAACCCTAAGTCTCACGTTATACGCATTCAAATGCACGCATCTTACTACGCTGGAAGATAACACACAAAAGAATAGCCCACAAAACTACGGCTGGTATATATAACATTTGCTTAGTTAGCGTTACGTCGTCATCGGAGCTCGGAGCTTGTACGCGCGATAACGTATACACTCAAGGGGGTCTCTCCGACCATTGTCCCCGTTATAAGAACTCGCGTGGATGTAATTAGATGGCTGCATCGTCGTCAATGAGTCATTCGTCGTTCTCAACGACACATTTCTCTTACTTTTACTTGTGCTTCGTATGTTTTTCTTGGCGCTCTTTTTCCGCTTCTTTTTATTTCTCGACATCGAGCTCTAATATGTGTGCATGGAGCTTACGCGCACCTTGCCAGCAGTGCGCATGGCACGGAAATGCACTCACCCGTGTTTGACGATTTCACAAGTTTGTTTTTATTGCAAATGGAAGAAAGCTATTTGTATCATTTTTTCAATGACATTCACTTTTGTTAGCTTCATCCTGTTTGGAGATATTGAAAATAAACATTTTTGCGAAATCAAAATAAAATGTTTGAGTTTAGTGTTTGTATACTCGTTTCGTTTATGACTACAATCGAGATGCAATCAACTATCTAAGCTCCAAACCACAAAATCCCCATTATTTATTATTATTTGTCTTTATGATAGTTGTTGTAAAACAACAAAAATAAATAACTGAGAAAATGAAGATTACAAAAAAAATTAAATTTTTTTTCGCAAATTTCATAGCTGAAATGAAAATAATTACATATTGATCAGTTCCATTAGTTTAAACTTGCAAAAAATCATGAGATTACGTTAAGAAAAATTTGTATTTGTATAAGATGCGTAAAATAAATAGACATGAAGTCCACGATAAAATAAAGTTAAATAATATTTTACTAGGTGTCGTAAAACTTTTTCAAATTCAACATGTCAATCGCTGTTTACGAGTTCGATCGAACATGTTATTTGAGGATTGCCTTTTATACTCATAAATGCACAATATGAAAAATGAGTTTATTATGCACGCGTGTGGCTTTACTCATAATGATTTGAGCATTATCAATGAATAGAGGCGAAAAGCGGCACTACGTGCACTTCCTTCTTCTGACGCCTTGGTAATCGCGTGAGAATCAAGCGATGTAATGGCTGAGATAATCGGTAAAACGCAGTTTCAATTTTCTTCCGTTGTTGCTTCGTGATCTACGAAGCCGTGATAACCGTTTTTAAGATTTAGCTCAGAATAAGATTGCCCATTAAAATTATATAACAGATACTAATGGTATGTTTGTTTTTTTTTAGGTGACGAAAATGAAAATGAGTTTTTCGTTGTCTTCGCTGCAACCCTCTAGCAAACATCTAGAGAGAGCAGAGCATGCGAAAAGCAAAATGGAAAAACCTTTCAACAGCCTCAACAAAAAAAGGTTTGTTTAAAATTCTTACTTTTTTAAGGTAAATTAAAGATAATATTTACCGTTTTAATATTTTCAAATTATTTGAAGGCTAAAGCGAGGTTTAAAATCGAAAAATATTTTATTCTATTTTTTGGATAGAGTTTTTTCCTTTTTCACTGCGTTTTTTGAAATATTAAATTTTCGATTTTTCACTGAGCTATGCGCGGAATATCTCTAGAAGGGCCCTAGAAGGCAGATGCAGTGCTTTTGCAAAAATTATTTATAAGGATAATTTGTTTTCTTGAGCCTTTTTTCCTATACTTTAAGAGTTATAGTTTTTCTTGCTTAAAGTTGTCTGGCGTTGTATATTTTGGAAAAATGTTTTTACCTGTCGTTATATTCAGAGCATATCAAATGAGCTACAATACCCAGGTGCTGTTTAATTTTTCGAAACATCAATGGCTATGGTTGCAGTCTTCGCGGAGGTGATCGAACCATAAGTCACTTTGAAGTACGTTTATGATTGAATGACAAAAAAAAAAACGTAAAATGAAAAAAAAACCCATCGGTGTTTGTGCAAGGTGACCTATGGGTCTAACCACTTAATCTGATGTTGCATTTGTAAGCATTGATGTTACAAAGAGGACCCTACTATGTGGGCGCTTTAGCTAATTGGGTTTTTTCAGAATTTAAACATGCGTGACAAAAACATTATTTTTCAGAAAACGTAAAAAAAGAATAAATTATCCGCGATAAATATAAGAAAAAAAACGCATTGATAGTGGTGTATCATAGTGTAAAATATGTAAAGGGAAAGGAAAATGCATTTCGAAAATTAAATGAAATTATTTTTTTATTTTAAACTATTTTTTAACTGTCTAGAATTTTAAGTTAACTGTAAGTAAATAAAATGCATTAATAAAATAATATCTTTAAATTTTAAATAATTCTTATAGAAAAGAACCTGTGCAAGAAGAATGCGCAAAATACTGGTCAGGGACAGAAGATAGCAAAGACGACTTTTGGGCTGCCATACAAACAAATTACGATTACATCATGGACACAAACCTTATTGATACTTGCAAGGTAAATATTTATGTGATAAATATTTGTTGAATTAGCTAAGCTAAGATAATGGTTAAAGAATATTGAAAATTTTATGAACTTAAAGGTAATCTTGATCATATATTTTCAACAGTATATCTTAAAAATTTTTCATTTTAAATTTCAAAAATGATCGTATTTTATCATCCTTTCCTGCATGGAAACTGTTAAAAGTTGATGATTATAATTGTAATCATTGAACTAACTTGCGAGACTATTGTTCTAACAATTTTCATATCTTCAGGAAACAAACGGAGAATTAACTTGGGATGAAGGTGACGTTTCAACGATGTCCTGGGGGTTGAAAGAAGTTAGCTGCCAATTCTCAGAACTGTACTCATGGTTACGAGTTCTTCAAGAGCTGGTTTATTCGAAAGAAGAAAATATTCTGGACAAAAGTCTACGTGCGGTGTGTATTCATTTAACTTTATCAAAAGCTCATACAAAAAAAAGATTTTTCAATCATTTAATTCGATGAATCCTTATGTAGATAAATCTAATTTGACTAAAATAAAATTATTTCTAGGCTCACACAGAGGAGCTACGACGTAAGGCATATCGAAGAAGATTATTTAATGAACAAGCAGAAAAATTGATTGCTCGAGCTCCTTCTTTAAAAGAAGAAGTTTATTGGCGAGTGGATCATTTGAATGCCAAATGGAATCTTGTTGAACAAATTATGGCTCCAGTGCAAAGATCTGATGAACTAGATCAACAAGATGTTACAGCAGGTAATAATTTTGGACTGACGCAAATGAAATGCATCGTATTAAATAAATTTTAAAAGCCCCGTGTGAGCTAAGCGTTATTTAAAATAACGTGTATAAAAATTTCTAAATTTCAAATTTTTTAAATTTTCATTGGGTAAAGAGAAAAAAAAACTGCAAAAAACATTTGATACCACTAGAGAAGTACAAAGTATGCACAAGATTCTTCATGATTATTGTTCTATAATACTTAAATTATAATTTTATAAATATCCAAACAATTATCAGAATTGTAATGAAAATACCATAGATTACAAGATTTATCAATGAAGCAAGTAGCTTAGATCAAATATGTTGAATCGAGTGACATTTAAAATATAGCTTTCAATTATTTTTCATTCATAACGCTATTGTAAAAATTAAAACTTTGAAATTTATGAATAGAAACAAAAAAAAAACAAAAAAATTGATTTATGAATGGGTTTTCACGATATAGGGGACATATTTTCTCATAATTGGGTGAACATTTGTGCTTATGGTTATTTTCTTCGTTTTCATAATCTAAAATATGCATGTAAACCTATATGTGCTTTTAATGGAGGGAACTTAAAAAATTAATGGAGCTACGAAATGAAAATGCGAAGATTGACTTTTGAACAGTTTATTTATATGTCTGAGTTAAGCGAAGTCTCGACCAAGAATTCACAAATTCTTCTAACAACAACTATTTGTTGCCTGGCAACATACTCAACCGCAATTGTTTATTAAAATTCGCTTCTAGACAGCCTCTGCACTGAGCTATCAGCCCTTTAAAATTTAATTTTACATCATTTTTGAAAATCATTTCTCGCTCAACGCCTATTTATAACAATTTTGAGAAAAAATGTTTTAGTCTATCTTAGAGTTGAAAATTTATTTTGAGATAAATATGTGGTTTCACAAAAAATTTGTCAAATTTCGAACTTTAATGAATATTAGTTACCATAAAATAATATGATTCTAAAGAATTCTAATTTATTTTAGATTTTGAACACGAGGTGAAGTGCTTAAGAAAATGGTTACGTGAAATGGAAGATCGTTTACAACCTTTGAATTTTCATGTCAATTGGAGTAGAACTGATGTCGAGGAAAAGGCGATCGAACACATGGTAAGATTTTAATAAATTTAATAATTATAGATACTCATCAAATCAATCGAAGGTTGCAAAAGCCATTAGTTTAAACAAGTGTCACTGCTTAATGTTACCTTACACCTCCAAACTATAAAATTGTATATTTTTTTCAAAGTTTTATTTTCAATGGAAAAAAGTCATAGCTGAACGAAACTTTTTATACACACTTTAGCAGCCTTTAATTGTATAAAACTATTTTTTTCAGTTTTTTAGCGGTCTCGTGTCGTCTTCTACAAATTTTTTCTGGAAACAATGTTTTTCAAGTTGGCAAACACCATTAAAGAAAACCCATTAATTTCATTGTTCTGAAATTTTAATACAATAATTTTCACATGTTTCTGCTCAGAATGAACTAGAATGGAACAAATCTACACAATATTTTTAGATTTATACACAATTTTCGAGAGAAAAAATTTCGATTCTCAAAAAAATGATGCTATTTCGTTATTTTTTAACCAATGTTTTGCATTGAAGATCATTGAATGCAGTAACGTGAGCAGATTGTTGTCTTAAAATTTCAGGACAATAAGGTTATTGGTTTTCTATTATAGTGTGAGACATAGTTTTTTTTTACGTTCTTTCAAAGGGATTGTAGCAGATAAATAATAAAAGAGTCTGCCTATTCAGCATCGGTTGCGTACGCAAAGATTTTGATTTTCTCCTACGCGAACTTAGGAACCAAAAAATTCATCCGTGGGGGTATATTTTTTTGCATACGCAAAACACATGGAGGATAAAATTCTTAACGTATTTATTTTAATAAAGAGACGAACTAGTGGAAAATTCTGTAAATTAAAAAACATGAAAATTATGTTTTTAGAAGCCTTTATATCAGAAAATATGTTTCTAGTACCTTCAATTATTTAAACTAGTCCAGGATTAATCTATAATGACTTATGATTCAAAAGTCCATTGGGGCATAAATCTATATGAAAATGTTGGCCATCATAGACCTATACGTGGCGGTCTCAAAAAATAACAATAAGCGTGAAAAAAGAAACTATTTTTGGCATTTTTTGTGTATAATAGTATTCAAACAATTTTCCTAGACTATTCATAAAATTATGATTTATTTAAGTGGAAGAGAATTAAAAGGTTTCGAGATACCTACGATCCATAATGGTCAAAAATTGTGTTCAGATTCATGCAGTAAAGGACTTGTACACCATTATAGATGGATACTGGACTAATTTAAATAATAAAAAGTACTAGAAACATCATAAACAAAAATTTGAATATCAAAATTTAATTTTCATGTTTCGTAATTCACAGGATTTAGCACTGATTTTTCCCTCAATAGCGTTGAAGTGATGTAAAGTCATCATTTAAATTTGGGAAATTCTGGAAATTTAAATTCTAAGAAAATTTAGGAAATTCCGGGAAACTACATCGACTAAAATTTAACGATTTTTGAACCCATAGTCAACAATTGCAGACAATATTGTCACGAAACTTAGAATGATTTAGAAAAGTTGACTAAATAATATTGAAATTAGAAATTAAACCGCGAATTTGTGAATTAAATTTTTTCGAATACCGGAAACATTCTAATTCCAGAATACATGAAATCGCAATTATTGTGTACTACGAATAGCGGAAGATTACTATGCATGCTGTATGTTGCATCTGTGCTGTAATCGGTATAATAGATTTCCTTTCTATCTTATTGACTTTGATATCATCCTTACCCTGCTTAGAGGAAGGTAAGGTAGGTTGTTTCTTTATCATTTAAAGGTAAAACTTTTTGCATCTGTACATAGTGTAGGAATAGGCTTTTAAGTTCATCTTATCGTCTTGAGGAAATATATTTTCTTGACTAACGTGACTAACAACTTGTTATTCTGAAAACCTGTAGATGGCGTTTTATCAGTGTGAAATATCGTTTTGCATACTTATTGTTAAAATATCATTTCCTTTTTAAGGTACTAAGAGTATTAAAGTTGATTCGTAGCCATAAAATGCTATGAATCTGTAAATTACATTATTTTTGCAAATAAGTCAGTTTAGATACCCCTTTACACTGAAAATATAAAATAGTATTGTCTACTAAAGAGCTATAGTAAAGCTAGGCACTAACAGCAATAGCAGCTGCTTCTAAATTTTTTGGTGGATACCACTACATCTTGTAGTGTTTATTCATACGAAAAATCAACTTTACTTGTCAGTAATAATAATACGTACTAGACCTCTTGTGCTATAGCGTTTAGTAACCATCACTAGGATTTTTAGTGCTGCAAACGATTTAAAATTTTCAATGTAGAAATTAGCTCATTGATTTGATTTGTGTACATTATGCACGATAGAATGAGAATCGTACCAAAATTGCGTTAAATACGTCATTTATAAAGTGCAGTATAATCATTTTTTCAAATTGTAAACATAAAAAGCAGTCAAAAGTTCATTTAGATTATGACAAACTTTCTCATTTCCTATTTCGATAATCAGTTATAGTCCAAAAGTAAAGTAACATAAAAAAACTGGATCATAACTCGCATCAGCAGCTTACTTTTTATTGTCAGTATAGTTAAAATTTCATTTTAGAAAGTTGTTTCGCCAAAAAAATCATTCAACTAACTACTAAATATCGATATCTACTCAAATAAAATATTTCTTTTTGTTTCAAATGAAAAAGTCTGGCGCAATATTAATTTTAAACTAATTTTTTCTATCATCTTAATTGTGCGTGATACAGTGAAACGCGAAATCTTGTAGTTTGGTAACAGTATTGTAAGGTTTAGCGAATCTTCGAAAGTGATGCTAAAAAAACGTCGTAATTTCAGAATGATAAGCTATTGTAAAACAATAGCAAAATTTCGAGCTGGAAAATCTTGGTTGCTACGTTAGCGTATTTTTTCATCTTGAAATTGGGTGGTAGACTAACAATAAATGCATTTAAATCTAAAAATGTAGTACACGCGAATGAGGAATAGAGGCCGAAGACATAAATAAGTGATCGAAGTGATGTATTTATTTTGTAGGTTTCATAGTTATGACTGACCAATCGCCCGGTCACTTGTGTAGGTCATATGTATGAACATAAAAGTTTATAATCTGGGCCACGAGCGGCGTAACGATTACCCGTCTTCTAGAAGTGTAACATTGAGACCCTACGCAGTAGTATAGCGATCAGTGTGAGTCTAACAGAATAAACGGCGAGGAAGCACATACATGGTTATGGTGCGTCGCACCGGTATCTACAGTCCTCCAACTGTGTGCGTACGAAAGGACACCATGATACTAGGTCATCACCGTGGCTATATACATTCAAACATATCCGTCCATAACAAAAACTGCAGCCGTTCGCATCTCAGAGATTAACGTCTTTTCTCGCCGGTAAAGCAATGTAGGTGATAAATGTGCGTCACTCAACCGCCCTCTATGCCCCAGGTGCTTTGACCAAGCAGTCATTGCTCTGATATCAATCAAGTTTATAAAAAAAGAGACATTAGTACAATTTTTATTATCTTTGCGTATCTCTTTTCATAATGAGATTGGTGAAGTTTACACGCACAAATCATGGACGAAGCTGTTTTGATGAATTATTGTAAAAGTTGGCCAAGTGATTTATCCAAGTAAAACTAAAAAAAAAGTTACTTAAGCAGACTTATTCGGTCAATTCAGAATGAATTTTATAAAAAAATGTTGTTGAATCTACAGTCGAGCAGTTTGTCCAAGCTGAAGCGAGTAGCTGTTGCAAAATCATCAATTCAGCAATAGAGAATATCAAAACAATTGCGCACTTTGAAAGTCTCATATAAATAATCCTATCCCCTATACATATTCCTATGTATTTTAATTGAAAATTCAAAGCTATTAATTTTCTACGGTGAATGCAAGTACTGAGTTTATCGTTCGATCAGAACTCGAATCCAAGCTACCAATGGTAATTATAATATCAGTCGTGTGCTGCAAGGCCACATAGATCCTAACCGATCGTGCACGCACGCGTAGTTGTGAATTTTGCTCCCTTCGAGTATACAATACTAAGCGCAAAAGTTCATAATTATGCGCTATTTCGTCGTTGTTTCAAGTACAGCGATCGGCTTAGCACGATTACGCTATTACAATGTAGCAGCAATACAACAAAGCTATAATTCAGCACTGAATTTTTGATCGACACGAGATTAATGTACATAATTTTTCACGCCTCTATGTGTATATCAACTTTTGTGGCTTGCTTATCGATATTACCATCATAAGTACGAAAAGTATTACGTGAAATGCAAGTAGTGTAATAATCAGAAGTCGACGACTAGCTAATTATATCCTTCCAACGATTTCGACGGATCAGTAGATGTACAAGTTCACGGGCACACCATATAACGTGATTACAAGTCACAAAATAAAAGCTTACAAGTTTTAGTATCCTTATCAAGGGTAAATCAATTCGTTTTGCCTAGAAGTGAATCATGAGTTACTTTACGTGAGACATTCTCACTTACTGAAAAGCGTGATATTAGGAATTCAGGGAAAGTGAAAAAGTTAAATTAGTATTTTATTCCAAAAGAGCTGAAGATAAAATTTATCTCGATAAAAAGTTTCTAGCGCAGAACTTTTAACAATTGAATATTATGCAGAATTGATTTAGTAGTAAAATGATGTTCGAATCGCATTATTCTTAGGTAAGATTAAAAGTAACATTATACTTTAATTAACAGCATTCTCTATACGTGTAGATAAACGGTGCATGAAAATATCACTCGAAAATGAAACAATGCGAATAATCTTTATTACAAAGATATAAGATAAAAAAAGGTTCTGACAGCAGTTGGCTTACGTAAGTTCATAACGAGAGTCAAAAGTAGGGAGCGCATATATTGTGTATAGTTAGGCTCTTTGCTTTCTCAAACAACGAGTTAACTCTTTGTTCCTAAGCGAGCGGTGGTCCAGCGCGGCGAAAGCGAGCGAGTAAGTCGTGTCAGTAGAATTACACTTCATTTTCTTATTTTATTTTGTATAAGATACAATTGCGTATA